TGTACTTTGTAATAACCTTATATATATTTAGTTCCATGTACAGGCATCTTTGAGTACCAAAAAGGTATTGTACACAGTTGTGGTACTCTACACAATCGATTTGTAAGATTCCTTAATCAAAATGAACCCCCCCCCCCCCCGGAAGAATAGTTGAGTCAGCTGTTGACTGCTGGGGAGGTAGGTCTTCAAGAAAAAAATAAAACTGTATATAAATGACTTGAGACACAATGAAAAATGTTGTGATGCCCGAGTTTCTTTGTATTTACACTTATTATGTTTACCAAATTACAAACTCCATAACTATAGTAAGATGTTTTTCATGACCACTATACGAATATTTGATTTTCTGTGGCATAAATAGTTTTGTCACAGCAAATGTTTGTCCATCAGTGGAGCGTCAAAATTGCTTAGAGGGCACACTGGTTATACACAAGTTTACTGAGTCTTTCATTATAGACAAAGAAGGTGTTTAGAAATGTATAGGTTGGATCACGCTCCGAGGGGCATGATCTAACCGACATAGCACTGCCCGAGAAAAGATTTGTATTAGCCAATCAAATGATGACATTTTGACGACAATTTGTGGTGAAATAGAACCACACTTTAGCGCGACTCTGATTGGTTGAGGGCTGTTGGCCATGTGCTAATACCAGTTAGAACATACGCAATATTTGCACAGGGGAAATGAAGCATCAATAAAGTATCAATTTTACTAAGATTACTGAAATTCCAACTTACGTTCATTGACTGTGGATTGTTCATCAACGCAACAAGGGGGTCTGTCACATTATTCTGGCCACTACACTGCAAGACTGACATAGCATGTACAACGATGGCAGCAAGGGTACGATGCAGTGGGTGCTGATTAGCCACTACCTTCAGTTGGGTACACTTTCCTCCTTGTCTATTGAACACCAGATCTTTAGCCAGTCTCTTGAATATAAAATTGTGAATCAGTTGACATATTAAATGGCAATAGGTTTTAAATTTCCTTAAATAGGTGCAGGATTATCTCTAATAATTACACGTATCTACTGGTTGTTATACTCATAAAATATTTAGAAGATTTTCACAGCAAATACTGAAGATAAGGAGTGGTATTTCGAGTATCTATATTTTTTTGAGTTTGTAGCATGAGAAAAAATACTCATACTGCTTTGAGATATACCACCATCATCTCTAGTATTCGCCAAGAATTACCTCATTATCTTATGTAAAACTATGCTAGCAAAAAAACAGACCATGTGGCACAAATAAAACCTCAAGTTAAAATATTCACATTTGAAAATGATCGTTGCTGTGGAACATTCTATTATAAACAATGGCATCATATAGTGGGTCACAGTTTCAGCAATGGTTTTTTTGTATCGTAAATCATCAAACAACACGATTATATCGGTTGGACCGACCATAATTGCTACATCTACCAGTAGTACATAGTATAGCACCGATTACTTGCAATGAATTTCACTCAGTATTCCAGGACTTGTTCACATTGTATACTGATGTTTAGTGCTTCTATTTATTTCATCAAGATAATTTTATTACTCATTGGGTATCATACATACATGCGGGTTTCATTAAATTGTTCTTAACTGGAAATACGTTGTTCTATTGAGTTTGATCTCCGATTGACCCCCAGTTTAGCATGCTGTTTTTGTCTGTTAGCTTCACCTCGGTCAACAAGCTCCCTTCGAGTCAACAAATCTGTATATTGACCTTGGCCAGAGTCATTATATTATTGACTAAAGATTTCTTACTATCCTATTTTTAATGCAAATCTCTCACATCAAAATTACCTCACAAAACAAAATATTTACTAAGTATTTCACTTACTTCTTTCTGTACGGCATTACTTTTCTCAATAAAAGTTATCAGATTCTGAGAGACCTGGAAGATAAGAAAATATATCTTAAGAAGAGCCATCGAATGTCATCCTCTGTTTGCAACTACTTATCATCTTCGCCCAATAATCTTGATACTATAACCTCCCTTGTGGCAGAAAACAATTCTCTATCATCTCTACAAACAACAGATACCTTCATATGTCAAGTATTATACTGCACCACAAGCCCAACACAGATAAAAATGCAGTACAATCACTGCACAAAATGGCTAAAATACAGATATGTTGGTGTATTTATGGTGAATACTGATACGTAGCGATAAATAAATTGGAAATACATTTTCTGTATTTGTGGCTACATACATGTACATAATATATTTGCACTTTATTAATACATTGTCACTGCATGATAAATACAGGTATATCTGTGATACAAATTTAGAATCAAGTCAACTACAGTATTCAGAACTCTGCGTATTCACATGCACTGTAGTATGGAAGTATAAAATGAATACCTGGTCATCCACTGGCATCCGTGTATTGGCGTAACTCATGGTGAATTCTCTGTAGATAGCCAACATGAGTAAGGCTTCCTTGTATTCTCTTTTCTCTGTGCATCTCTATAGGAAATAAAATAAAATAATAAAATAAAATAAATAATAAAAAATAAATAAAATAAATTAAAATAAAATAAAATAAAATAATTTTAAAATATTTTTAAAATAAAATAATTTAAATGAAATGAAATGAAATAAAAAATAAATAAAATTAAACTTGATGAGTGCATAATGTTCAATACATATATTTCAATTACTTCAAAACGAGTTATGTACCTGCACGTGATCAATTCCTTTTGTTTTACTACACACAAAACAATGCTTCTGATATCACACAATTTTTTTTGTTTTGAAGGCATATTGTTATAAATTATCTGTAAATCTAAATATTTACAAACTTTAACATCAGTTACATATTACATGATTCTGTGCAGTAATGTCAGCTGTATTAGGGCATTTTAATTTGTGTGTGAACATATAATAATGGTGTGTACTGAAAGCACCAGTTCAACAGTCTTGGATTTAAATGAGACTGATTTCAAATCAAAACAGTTGGGTTCATAAATTGTTATAACTATAAACACGCCTTTGTTGACGTTTATGTACTTCCAGCTACCCGGTAATTTTTTTTCAAGGGCACAGCCTGTGATGGCGCACTATTTTTTAAACAGATTTTTCAGTTTGCTCGCTTGAGGGCGCACTCCGCCTCTGCAGCCATCTTCCAGCAATTTCATGAGTGAAGATCGTTTTTCAAACAAGCCATTTTAATACACCACAGTGATCCGCCATCCAAGGCTCTTTTTGAGAAATCCATGTTCGGTAAACTTGTTACTTATTTTGTATATAGTTTTCTTGAGAAATTGGGATTTTATTTTTAATTTGTCGTCTACTGTAGTTATAAATATAGATCGGCTGCTCGTAGTATTTTCAATGTTTCAAACTTTGCTGATGTTTTTACTATTTTATGTAATTTTATTTTTGGTATGACATCCAGTCGTACATGATTTTTTTTGAAGAAGATTTTTTTATGATTTTTGCGTTATTTTTGGAGATAAAATTTATGAAATTATCCCACAAGTATTTGGCATTGGTATTTATGAACTGTGATAGTTTGAGAAGATTTAAAGACTTCTCGACTCTTGTGTGTCCTGACAGGGTAAGTATAGCATTTGTTACAATTTCTAGATCTTTAATCCTTATCTGGTCAAGTCATTGGGAAAATAGTACATGGGGCTGACAGAATAAGGGTTAAATTTGACATTAGTCTGACCCAGTAAAGATTTATTTTGTTGCCAATACAAGGGCATTGCTAAATGATTGCCATGCTACAGTAGTTTTAATATGTGTGCCACTGTTGTAATTTTGTTTGCAGATAAATTCCCCTCATTAGGTAATTATAGTGAAGTCATTTAAAACAAAACTGTGATCAACATGTACATTTGTTAATTATACTGCATTTTGAAGAAACTCAGTTTATAGAATATTTTTATTTATTTTCATTAGTGTGTGTTTACTGTGAGTAAACAGAAAATTTGTTTTTTATATTGTAGTGTAATCCCCTATGTATGTGTTTTCAAATTTGCAATTGCTTTGATGCCCAAAGAGTTGCCTTTGTGTCCAGTGACAAATGCAAATACATGTATTCTCTATATAAAATCGGATCCATATTATATTTTAGTCAATTTCATCAAATTTGGTCTTGAAACTGGGTGGCCTTTCAATGTTATTTTCACCTTGCATTTATTTTGATATGTAAGTGATTGCATATATATATGTACAAAAAGTATACAAACTAATAGATATACTGGTACATGTATTTTGTTTTTTAAAATAGTTTCTTTTTATTTTTTTCTGTTCATACTAGAATCCTAGAATAAAGAATGCAATTATACTATATACATAATTATAGCATTTTTTATTTTTCTGCATACATAAACAAATTTTTACCTGGAGAATGTCTTTTACTTTCTTAAATTGTCCATCAAGCAAAGCAGTCGCCATAGCTTCTCGTAAATCTTGATAAACCTTGCCACAAGTGACAAAACGATCTGGTATGACTTCAACCTGAATAAAGAAAAACATCATTTGTTTCAACTGAACATAAATTATACATACCATGAAATTATTTAAAGGTAAAACAATCCTCATTTCACAGGTTATCAGATTTGTTAACTTGCCATAAACACTTTACAACAATATTTGAATGAACTAATTGAGGGGGGGGCATCCATTTTTAAAACAACAAAAAAAGGAAAAACAAAACAAAAGTAAAAGAATAAAACAAAAGTTTTAAATTCATCAATTCAAATTCAAAATGGCTACCTGAATTGGAAACAAATAATATTTTATGCAAATTTTAGTTTATTGTCACGATTTTTATGGTATTTCACATTATCATTCATAGTCCATGAATTATTATAAGCACCTGCAACAATTAAGATGCAATTTATTCACAATTTAAAATTCACCTGTTGTTGAGCTTCTGGCGGGGCAATCCACCTCAGACTTGGATTCTTGAGCAGGCCTTGCAAACAGTCAATACCATATCTACGACATATCTGTTTTACAAGGAACACTCTCGGCCACTTGGATCCACAACTTGTGAAGAATTTAGCTGTAATATCGAGTAATTTCTTAGCAAGCATGAATTGTGTTTGGTTTGCATCAATCTCCTGTTGATTTCTTTGACGACTTCCACCAAAGAATTTGTATATGACTTCAGCAGCAGTGACTAGTCCAAATCTGACACCAGCAACTGACTGTAACTGTGTTACACCAATACTGCTTTTATCATGTCGGCTTTGTTGAATAGAATCTCCAATTTTTGTAGTAGCTCCTCTCAGTATAGCAAGTGTGGCATTTGGGCAGAACTGAACAGATTGATTATGGTATGAATCCTGTGAAGGAAATGAAAAAGTCTTTTATTAATGCCGTGATTTGTTTTATTTATATATGTCATGGATATTGCTTAATTCACATTATTTTTTCATTACCAAAAATTATACAATTTGTTTTGGGTTTTCATGATACAGGTACATGTATACTAATATTCTGTAATAACATTCTGGGAGTATGAGGTTTACTTGAATTCACCTACCTCAATGCACTGGATGCACAGTAAACAGAGTTCAATGGTCTCTGCTTTAGACTTCACCAAGTGTTGTGCAGTATCAAAGTATTCTTGCAAGTGTACATAAACTTGACGATTGCTAGTTGGAACAAAACAGGTACAAATTAAGGATGTGAAATTTAAAATCCTCAACACAAACTCCACCAATGCCATCATAACCAGAACCACCATAACTACTATTTGGAAGTAAACTTTATACCTTGATTTAAGTAGTAGTTTGTTCTGACAAAAGAATTTGTAGTAGCAGTAGTTGTAATAAGAATGATCTGACAATAGGATTTGGATCAATACAATCTTCTATGGAC